CACTCATTTAACGGTCAACTATCAGAGTTGGCTGCCACATCAGAAAAAGTTAACGGAGAGTGACCAAACTTGAACGGTTATACTAATCTTAGTAACTACGGATGAAATAAATTAATTTCAGTGGCAAACGTGAACTTTTTAAGTAATTCAAAAAAGTGACCAAACTTGCAATTTACCCTAAACTATAGTGTGCACTGTCTCCGCCCAAAACTTCATCGGAACTTCAGAGTAGAACATGATGGCACGAGTGAGTTCTAACACGTGCCTGTGCTTGCGCTCGACTACCCAATTTTGTTTTGACACCCCAGGACACGACTGTTGCGGAAGAATAACATATTCCTTAAAGTTCAAAAGAAGCTCATTAGAACGTAGAACCTTAATCGTCTTACCAAACTGGGTCTTTACCATCTAAATAAATTCCCCTGCAACCAATGCCAAGTCCGATTTTTGCTTCAAAAAATATACCCAGGTATATCTAGTCATATGATAAATGAATAACGCAAAATATCGAAAGCCCATGCGAGAGAGAACGGGAGATGGCCCCCCAGAGATCAGTGTGAACCAAATCAAAAGTTTCATCATACACTATCTCGCCAGGCGAGAAGGAAATCTGAGAAGCTTTATCCTCAATGCAGCTTACACAATCAGAAATACCAGTCAACTTCAACACATCCAATTTATCCAGCAACAAATTCTTTCTAAACATAGCCTTTAGTCGTCCCGAACGAGAATGACCCAATCTATTATGGCACAATCCCACAAAGAATTGGCAACTAAAATATCCAAACTAAAAGCCGAACGCCCAATAGAAGTACTATCTTTAGAAGACCTCAAATTATCATAAGCACAAAACTCCCATGACCCGCCACCATAGTCACCCCAAGTCTTCCCTCCATGGTCCATGCACGATCAGCCACACCTTCCCTAGCCTTATCCACACCATGGAAGTCCTAGAGAACATACGTACGACCAGCTTTACTTTTGCGCCCTCACCCTCCCCGTCATCCGATCTTACACAACACAACCAGTGGAATCGAAGAGGACATTACAGCCATCCTTAGTCAATTGACCCACAGAGACTAAATTCGAACGAAGTTGAGGCACATAAAGAGTGTTGGGAAGAGTGATCGAGCCCGTGCAAATTGTTCCCGACCCATGAAGAGGAATAGTCACACCATTAGCCACTTCAAGATGCATGGAGCAAACCGGACTCATGGTCGTAAACGCATGTCGATCACGTGCATGTGATTAAACGCTACAGAATCTAAGAGCCAGTGAGAGTACTTACTAGGGTGAACTATTGTGGCAAAGGCATAGGAGAGTGCCTCCTGCAGAGCTTCTTGGACAAGACGTCGAATCTGATCCGGAGACAGCGAAGGAGCAGAACCCACCCCAGAGGTTGAGCCATCCGAGGAGCTAACACTAACCGGATAGGCCGAACCATGCGAGGAAGACGGACCAGCAAAAGGAGCCGGATGAAGGTTATTGCGTCTACTCAAAGTCGGACAGTCCAGCACAATATGTCTAGTACACTTGTAGTAATTACAAAAATTTTGCTTCTTATAGTGGATCTGAATATGACCATGTTCACGACAAAAGTGACAGATTACCTCCCCAGATGCCGGTTTGGTAAAGTACGGGCGAGAAGTCATAGCGGGACGTCCATCCGCGAAGGCCGACTTAGCAGAAGAACCTACACTGTCAATCTGCGATTGACTTTTAAGTCCAGTCTCCTCCCGCATCAACTCAGCAACCACATCATCAATGCTAGTGACACCCTGATGAATCAATGAAGCCCAAATGGGTTCAAACTCTGACCGAAGCTTAGCAAGAAATTGGAGAACTTGAGTGCGACTATGTTCGGCGAGAACAACCGCAGAAGCCACATCAGGCACAAGAGAAGCAGTCAACAGGTCATACTTCGTCCAGAGATGGAGACAATCTTGATAATACCCGGGAATATCTCGATCACCTTGGTAAGACTCCCTATCTCAGTCTCCAGCTCAAACTGTCGCAATGCACTATGTTGAATTCTAAAATATCACTTTGCTCATAATATTAAATCTAAATATGTTTATTTGGTCATTAAAAATATATATATATATTTCAATACTAAACTTATCAACTTTTTAAACTTATCAACTTTCATCATTTCAAAAAGTAAAATATTTAAAAATGAAATATTTTAAATTTAAATTTCTATATTTTCTATAAATTTGGGAGAAGAGTTGGAAATAAAAATAAAACATTCATGAAAATTGGGTGAAGATGCGTTGAAACCTCAATCCAACCATCATTAGGATGGGTGGAGAATCCATTTTCACCATGATAGAGAAATCTTGGGAACTCTTCTCTATCATGGTGCATATGGATTTTCAATGTTTATGTTCTACCATTTTTTGTTTGGTGTAATTGTGTACGTTTGTAATGAATTTGTGTAACATCACAACCCATTTCCGGAACAAGATATTGTTTGTTTGGGGTTTTGCTTTGGGGATGCATATTAAGGACTTCGTTATAAGTCACACATTATTTCACTATTCTACAGTAAACATGTTTAACTTCAGAGTTCGTACGATAACTCCTTCATGCACCCCAAAACATGTCATGTTAGTTAAGGTCGGTTTCTTACTTATGTACCATGGATCGCTCTCGTTCTTTGTCGATATGAGATTTGCTAAGGTGTTATATGCACCCTCTCCCCTCATAGACTCAACGTCTTCATTGAGTTTTGCCCCACGATCAACCAAGTGGAATGCAGAGTGGCTCCGACCTTTTTACTGACCAAGATATTGTCCGCTTTGCACTGCCTTCACTCTTTTTTTGGTGCATATAAAGGTGACTTCCCTAAATATAATTCATCTTTGTATTATTCCACACTTAGAACATTTTAGAGTTCTGACAACAACTCCTACATTTCACCCCAAATTGCATATTGTCAGTTAAGATCGATTTTCTACTTATGAATAATGATTTCTCGTGTTTTATTGATGTGGAAATTATCTACGTTGTTACAATTTGTTTTAGGGTTTATAAGTTGAGAAATTTTACAATACTATATAGCATTGGTGCTATAGATTTTTACCTTTATGGTACAACTTGAAATTGTACATTCAATGTTATGGTACAGTTTTAGATTATACCTACCATGTTTTGTACATATATGTGATGGTACAACTTTACAAGTTGAAGTTGTACCATCACATAAAGGTACAACTTCAAGTTGAACTTATACATTTAATGTTATGGTACAACTTCAAGTTGTACATTAAAGCACCAATACTTTATAGCATAGTAAAAGGGCTCTTATAAGTTTTGTAAGAGTAAAAATAAACTACGGGCAATTTGTAAATTTAAAAAGATTTAGCATGAAATTCACCTAATAACTTGGGAGATGGTTTGTAGGCCTAAGGAGCATGGTTGACTTGGACTCCAATCGGCCACGAACCCAATTTCGCCTACATGATTAAACTTGCTTGAAATATTTTGAAAAATATTGACCTTTGGGTGAAAGTGTTATAGGGGAAATATCCAAAGTTGGATGAGGCGGGTCTCACGACTTTGGAAAGGAATTCTTCGTGCGTTGCCTGCCATGAAAGAAGAGGTTCTTTGGGATATCGAAGACGGCAGAAACATCTACTTCTGGACTCAACCTTGGTTGTCGGAGGAAATTATCTTAGTAGATTAACCTTAAGGCTTGTGTTACCGAACTCTCAACTGCAAAAGGTAAATGAGACTGGAATAGGATTACCCCTCACCTAGCTAACTCAATGATTTTGGTCATTGTAGGTACTAACCCTCTAGATGATGATATGAACGTGGATTGTACAATTTGGGGTCATGAAAAGGATAGCAAAGTCCTCCTAAAATCAGCGTACGACTGGCTGAAGGACAAGACGGCCAACTATGATATTCCAACTAATTTATGCGACTAGAAGTAGATTTGGAGATGGTCTGGTCCTAGCAAGATCAAGCATTTTGTTTGGATGACAAAACATGATCGGCTATTCACTAACTGGGAACGAAAAAGGCGGAAACTAACCCATGATGACACTTGTGTCATCTGCAAAGACAGCCCTGAAACCACATAACACACATCCTAAGTGAGTGCCTAATACCCTTGCAAACTTGACATGCCCTTGCAAACCAAGCTCTTACTCCAGTTTGTTTTTGCAAAATGGATGCTACACAATCTAAAGATTCAAGAAATGATATTGAAGTTTGGTGTTTCTCTATGGTACTTATGGAAGCAAGGAAATGAAGTTGTATTTGAAAAGAAGATGCCAAATCCCTACATCCTGGCGTACAAAATAAATAATTGGACAAGGTCATTGTTAAAGCTGAAGAGGATGCAAAGACAAGCAACAATCATATACCAATGAAAACACCTCACCTTCTCAGTTGGTCTCTGCCGCCAGAAGGATGGATCTCTATTCAAATTTATGGCTTCGTACGACAACCCAACTCGATGGCATCTGCAGGAGGGGTCATCTGAAATGTGTAGGGACATTGCACATGTGCTTTTGCATCCAACATCAGCTCTTGCACCATCAACAGATCGAAAATAAAGGGGCTGATTGAGGGGTTACAGCTTGCTTTGAGGCAAGGACATCGAAAGGTGCTTGTGCAAATGGACTCCACTACTCTGCTTAACCTCCTCACTACCGATAGTTGTAATGATCACCGGTATCAAAGGCTAGCACAAAAGTTTGAACGAAAAGGTTAAATTAGAACACACCTATAGGGAATGCAACAGAGTTGCATATCACTTATGCATTCCTTAAGTTTAGGGATCGATGATATTAGTCTTTCAGATCCAAGACTATGCGCTTGGACTACATATGATTGTATGGGCAATGCCCTATCTCGATGTTAAAGTTCTATGCAAGTACGTCATTTTAGACAGGGGCGGAGCTAGCATAGAGGAAGGGGTTCCATGGCACCCCCTTGCTTTTCATTTCAACAAGAAAAAATATATATACTTGAAAATGAAACCCATTTAGAATATAAATAAGCAAGTATTGAAAAATCATATCGGAGGTTTTACCGGAAAAGTCAGTTGCGGGGTATTTTATGCAGAAATCGTGGTTCAACTGTTTCATACCGCCAAACATCGCCTACCAATTTTGCTTCCGCCAATAAATTTTTTTTGGTGAAACCGCCGATACGGTACGTTTTTAATCCTTAAAAATAAGTACTCAATTGCACCCTCGAGTTAGTTGTTTGGGAGAGAAAAAAAATTAATACTTTTTATCAACTTGCAATAAAAACTACAGTTTTTATTAAAAATTTACCAAAGACTAATTAGACTTAAATTAACACCCACACAAATAAATTCTAATATTCTCATTCCCTACCTTTCATAAAAAAGAATTCTCAATATTTTAAGTCTAATAATAAATAACATAATAAATTTTCTTTCATATGAAGCATTACAAATAAAAATTTTGATAGTTAACATTTTCAAACTATGAAAAGGCCATGATATATTTTTAAATTGGAACCCCCTTTATCAAATCGTGGCTATGCCACTGATTTTAGGGGTCGTTTGGAAGTTGAGATTCTTCAAATATGTGTATTTGATGAATACATCTATTGTCAATACAAAGATTGTAAAAATTAGATGATTGTAAGAATGTTTTGTTTGGTTGTAGCCATTCAAAAATTTTAAAGAAAAGAAAAATCACTATATGCGCTAAAAGTGAAACAAATTAAAGTCAACAATCTCAAAGGAAGAATCTCACCTTTTTGTTGAGATTTAAAATGAGTGATTGTGGGTGATATGAGATTTGAGGGCACACCTCAAATGCATGTATTGAATAAAGTTTTGGAACAAAACACGATGGATTCTCCAGAATACATGAATTCAGAGAATCATTCATTTAGAATCATAACTTTCAAACGATCCCTTAGTGTCCCATTTCCAAAAAAAAAAGTTAGCACGATAAATACAACTTTTAAAGCGACGAATATCAAAATTGAGAAATTAAAGCAACTAGCGGGAATTTACCGTTTTCGTTTTCCATTCCACCCCATCTCCAATAAATAATTATATATATATATATATATATTTTTATCTCCAATAAATTATTATCTTACATACTTATCAACAATTATCTTCCACTCTGAATAAGTCGCCAAATTTTTTTTTTTTAAATAACACGTTAACAAAACACTAATAAATTATTTTTCTTAACTTTCCACCAAAGCATCGCCGAAAAAAACACTTTCCAGCAAAGCTCCTCCTCCTCCTTCCGCCCTATTTTCCTCGGCCGCCGCCGCCACCACCACTTTCGTTCTGATTCTTCTTCGCAATCGCAACCAAGTCTCTCACCCGCGCCCTGCGCGTACGGCCCCCATTTCTTGCTTCAGCTCTTGTATTTCTTCCAGCTATATACCAGAAGCTTGCTTCCCAGTTCCCGCACCACTTCAATTCATTGATTTCTTCAGCTAGCTCCTCCCTTAAATTTCCAGCTCCGGTAGTTCGATGAGATGAGAAGAGTCGCAAGCGAGTTGCGCTCTGAATTTAGAGGAAATGGGCTCAAGAAGAGCTGCCGGGTGCATAACGCTCTATGTGATTCTGCTTTTCTGTGTGACCACGGCCAATCAACTAAGCCCTCAGATGAATGAAGAAGAAACGGTTATCTTTCTTTCTTTTCAACCTAATTTCTTTGTTCTTTCTTTTGTTCCCAGATTGCTTAAACCCTTTCGTAGTCTTGATTGCTGCATTTCATATGGGATATTTGTTCAAAGCTAGATGGAAGAATTTCACAACCCCTCCCCCTTGCAAATCTAATATGTTGACTTCTGGTGACCGAGTCAATGGAAAAATATGTTAGATGCCCACAATTGGTGTTGATTCCTTTTGTTCTGTTGAAACAAATTAGAATGTTATTTGTATGATGGGTAGTTGTGGAAAGAATTTCTGCATATGAAAGTTAGCTTCTTCAGACAATCCATGGCTAGCTACATTGGATGGATCTTCTGCTATACAAGTCAGCATCTAAGTACCTCTTGTGGAAAATTGGAGAGAAAACCCAACAATTGATTCGATCTCAATGCTGTTTATGTGATAAACAGATAGAAGTTTATTAATTCTGTCAAGTTGAGTTAGACTGGTTATAGGAGCTTAATTTTGTTATATATACACAGGCAGAAGACGCATGGATCCGCTGCTGCAGGGAACAGTCAGGAGACAACGAGGATTTATTGAAAGATTGTGACTTTTACAGTCTTCTTGAATCACCCAGCGAAATGGAATCATATTTGTCAGCAAGAAGAAACGTGCAGGTTAATCCAGTGAGAGTTGTGCCACTAGAATTGAAGAAGGAACTTCTACATTGCCTGAGAAAGATAAATCTTCTCTCTGATGATGGAAGCAACAGCTTTACCCATTGGCTTGCCAAGTGGCTTCAGCTAGTTTTGGAATGGTCTCCTACTCCTACTACAACTCGAAGAAGGTATCTGGCTAGTAAGCTTGATGTCCAAAGTGCGCCGAATGCTTCACCACCTGCATTATCTCAGTCTTATAGCCCTGCTGCAAGTACTACTGAAACTCGAGATAATGGCTCAGGACCACCTTCTGCACAGGACTCTAAACTTATTCCTATTGTGGCAACTGCAGTAGCAACCTTCTCGCTTGTTGCATTGTTATTCTGTTGTTGGCTTCTTTGCTTGAGGAAAAGACGGCCTGAAATTATTAATGATATTGAAGAGGAAAGAGATGAGAGGCCTCTGCTCCACTTGCGTGGTTCGTCTGTCAGTAAGTACACTTGTTACCCTATTTTTCTTCCGTGGTTTGATTTGGCTAAGAAAAAAGTTATTTTTTTCAGAATGGAAGAGAAAAAGGGTCCCAATGAAAGGTTGTCTTAGATGATGACAGACCGTTTGTTTGGTGATAAAGAATTGAGTGGACTTAGAAATTGACTCTCTTATTGTAACTTCGAAATAGATTCTTATTGGACAAACATGTGTTAAACTTTTCTGTAAGTTACTTTGTTCTGTCCATAACAAACACACCAATTGTTCTATATAATTTCATCTTTTATTTGTCTTGTAGGTTCATCTCTGGCTTCTGCAAGTATGGCTAGCTCGACTGCTAAGAATCCGAAGTCTAATGGTGCAGTGAATGAAACACTTGCAACCAACCTATATCTGCAGCAGGGGAAACAAGAGGGTGTAACAATGGAGGGGAAATCAACCGAAACAAAAGTAAATGCAGTAAATGAACTTCTTCCGCCTCTAAAACCTCCACCTGGAAGACCTGTGACACCTCCACCTCCGTCGCCACCTCCACCTCCTACGGCGCCTCCACCTCCTCCTATGGCACGTGCACCGCTGCCACCTCGGCCGCCTCCTCCAGGACCTCCACCACTGCCAAAACCCCGCCCTCCACCTGCTCCGCCCAAGTCTAAGTTGAATCCTTCGCCGCTTGGACCAAAGCAGCCCAATATCAGTCCTTCCAGTGATGCAGATAGTACTGATGATGGAGCTCAAAAGGCTAAGCTGAAACCTTTCTTTTGGGATAAGGTTATGGCCAGTCCTTCTCGCTCAATGGTCTGGCATGAGATTAGTGGTGGATCTTTCCAGTAAGCATAATAGATCTTCAAACTGTTATAGTTCTGTTTATGAGAATTCTCTTTATCATGCTTCCTTACTTTGCTTAACATCTTTTCTTCTCTGCCTTTGCAGGTTCGACGAGGAGATGATAGAGTCGCTTTTTGGCTTTAATGCTAATAAGAATAACAATGAGCGTAAGATAGAGTTGGTTGACAATTCAGTTAAGTACATTCAGATTATTGATCCTAGGAAGGCTCAGAATCTGTCTATACTTTTGAAAGCACTAAATGTTACTACGGAAGAAGTTCTTGATGCTCTTCGTGAAGGTACCTCTGTTCTCTCACTACTGTTTGTTCCATCCCTAGAAGTTTTTGCTGTGATCTTGTACATCAATCCTCATAGAGGGTTGTTGAAAATTATTGGTTCATCTCATTTAAGTTGGTATGTTGACTGTGCATACTTCCTTTCTGAGCCCGAGTGCACTCCCTTACATGTATGTGAACTGTTCTGAATCCAGCTAACGAGCTTCCAGTGGAGGTTCTCCAAACTTTACTGAAGATGGCGCCAACACAAGACGAGGAATTGAAGCTGAGGTTGTATGAAGGTGAGATTTCTCGTCTGGGCCCTGCAGAACGGTTCCTCAAAGCATTGGTGGAAGTCCCATTTGCTTTCAAGAGAATCGAATCATTGCTATTTATGAGTTCCCTTCAAGAAGAAGTTACGTCTCTCAAAGAATCCTTTGCAACTCTGGAGGTGAGGGAATAAAATAGTTCTTCTGTTAACTGAAATTTCAATGGCTTTTTGTCCACTGTAGTATATAGTTGGTCTGAACTAAGTGTGGAAGAAGGTAACTGGTAGAGACCGGTTATCTAAACTGAAAAATGTGAAGGATGTGCTAATTGAAAACTGGTACTGCAAAGATTATTACAGTTTACGTTTCAAGTTCGAAACCACAACTTTTACCATGAAAATGAAAATCGCTAATGAAAGCCTGGAAAGTTAAAAGATTATTGAGCTGGTATGGTTAACCAGAAAACAGCTTAGACACCCTTTATTTTGTAATTTTTGCTTGTATCCTCCAAAAAGTGGCGCTTCAGTTTAACACTGATGAGTTCAGAGATGCATGTACTCACATTTTGCTCCATGCGCAAAAATGGCAGGTAGCTAGCAACAAGCTCAGAAACAGCAGGCTCTTCCTGAAACTACTGGAAGCAGTTCTCAAAACTGGTAACCGAATGAACGACGGCACTTACCGAGGTGGTGCACTAGCATTCAAGCTTGACACTCTCCTAAAGCTCTCCGATGTCAAAGGAACAGATGGCAAGACGACCCTTTTACACTTCGTCGTTCAAGAAATCATCCGTTCTGAAGGCGTGCGTGCGTTCCGAGCAGCACAGGCAAACAACGCAAGCTCCCCAAGCATGGCATCAGAAGACCTCAGCAAGAACCCCAACAATCAGGCAGCAGAGGAACACTACTGCAACATTGGGCTCCAGGTGGTTTCAAGCTTAAGCAGCGACTTCGAAGAGGTGAAAAGGGCAGCGGTTTTGGATGCTGACATGCTGTCGTCTACACTGTCAAAGCTCAGGCAGTCATTGACGAGGGCCAAAGCATTTGTAGAGTCTGATATGAAGAGCGATGAAGAGAGCGAGTTTTATGCCTCACTTGTGGCCTTCATGGATCGAGCTGACTCGGACATCACATGGCTTTCAGAGGAAGAGCAGAGGATATCAGCTCTGGTGCAGAGCACAGCAGATTACTTCCACGGCAAGTCAGGGAAGGAAGAAGGGTTGAGGCTTTTCAGCATTGTGGCGAGTTTCTTGACGATGCTTGACAAGGCATGCAGAGAAGTGAAGGAAGCGAGAGCCAAGGAACTAGCTGCAACGAGAGTGCCATTGAAGAAAGAAAACACACGGGAAGCATCGAGTTCAGGAATTCAGCAACAGCAGCAGGCTCAGAATCAACATCATCTCAAGCCGCTGTTTCCAGCCATTGCTGAAAGGCGGAACAATGAATCCTCTAGTTCAGATGATGAATGAAGATTAGTCCCAAGCTTGTACATGTATACACTCGATTGTTTGTTTATTCACCCAAAAGGAAAGATGCCATCTTTTTTATTTTATCTATTAGGAACCAACATATCAGAATTTTGGACACAAGGTTAGTGTTAGAAATGTGAATTTTTTGAGCCTTGCTGACTGATATATGGATGATTGCCGTTTACCCTAACACCATGTCATTTTACACTAGCGGAGTCTGTTAATTTCATTCAAAAAAAAAAAAAAAAAACAGAGTCTGTTAATTGTTTGCAGCTGTTCCACTTCTTGTATCATGTCTATTTTCCTAGTTTGTTTGAAGCTTTCAGTTTCTTCTGCTTCTTTTGATCATCAGTGAACTTGTCTATTGTGGAACTAGCATTATTCCCGGCCCGTTGGCCGGGTGAGTTTTTCATTTTATATTATCGATTCAGTAATTTAAAGCTATACTTTAACAGTTTTAAATTTTTTAAGTCATTTCTATTTTTTAAACTCATTTTCAAGAACATTAATGAGGTCTCTCAATACAATATACGTTAATGAGATTGTAATGAACGAACTGTTTTTCGATAATTATTTACAATTCATTTTACATGTTCATTTTTTAGAAGGAAAAAAGTCTAATATTATTTATAAAATATTAGGATTGCTAATATGCTTTTGCGAAAAGTCTTCTCCCTCTTACGTAAATAGTAAATCCCTTGCCCTCACATATATGTGACATTGAATTTCAAAAATTGTACCTTTACTTATCATATAGATTCATAATGATTTGATCTCCCTAATTCGTAATTATATCCTTCATGGAGGTTTCGAAATTCCCACTATGCAAATTTATGTCCAAATTTTTTGGTTAAAACACTCAAATTTATCATCGTATACTTAATACGTGAATCAATGTTAGTTCTTTATATCTAATGTTTAAATTGTATAGTGAAATGTCTATTTCTTATGAATACTAAATTCATGCCAGGATTAATTATTCATTAATGATGAGATGAACCAAACAAACCGTTTGTTTTAAAATAGCACATTTGAAAAATCATTGACAACTATCAATTTAAAAAAATTTAAACAAAGTTCAACCTCAACAAAAATAAGAATAAAAAGGATAATGGTAAAAAATTTGGATGTTCAATTGTTCATAAAATAACATATTTACGGAGGAATTGTAGAGAAAACATATTAAAATAAATAAATAAATAATCTCTATTAAGCGATTTTTGGGGAAGACGGGCAGTGAGAGGTTATTATTAGTCTGCACCAAAATGGAAATTATAAATTGACGGAAGGAGGCCTGAATTCACTTAGGGTGACGATGACGTGGATGAATAGGCGTTAGGCTCGTGTGGAAGTTATAAGATTTTTTTTTTTCAATTGTGCGTGCTGTTAAAAAGAATGGGGGAAAACATGTGATGACGTGGACGCGTGAGGAAGGGGAGAATTTGAATCCCTGAAGTGTTTTTTAGGAAAGTCTATAATATATTCTTTAGACATGGATCAACGATTCTTGATGTTTAGACGAAATTTTGTTAAAAACACTTAAGTTCAATTATTGTATGTATATCACCATAAAATTGGGACTAATGTAAAATACTGTGTCTTTTAAATAATAATTAGTTTTGAAAATTATTTTTGATTTTATTTTGATAAATAATTTTCTGTTTCAAAATATAAAAGTATAATATAGACTCTTCCCATTATAAATAATTATATCTAGACATTAAATAAGGGAGGGAGTGGATACTATTCAAATCTCCCGATCTACAAAACCCAATCGTATCATCATATCACACAAATCGTAATACGATGATACGATCGTGTTTTGAAGAATTTTATAGAGGAGAGGTTCTTTAACGGAACTCAGACCATTACACAATCAAAAGAACATCTAACATAAGCCCCAAATTGATTACTGAGAAATAATAAATTAAAGTAAAAAATAACTAAAAGAAGTGAAAGAGGAGAGAAAAGTCCGGAAAATTATGAACGAAAAGAAAAAATATAACCGCAGGCCGCAGCCCGCAGGAGAAAGGAAAAGAAAAAAATATAAAGGGAAAAGAAAAAAAAACGGAAGGAAGCGAAAAAGCCGAGGAGTATTTTAATGCTGACGTGGCGAAAAGCTTTTTCTAAACCTCTTTAATATTTTCTATAGATAGATAGATTTTTTGAATGAAAGGGAGGCCGAAGCCAAGGTTCAAGCTACAGAGCAACACCCCACCCAGCCGAGACTGCTACAAGTCAGCAGAATCAGCCCAAAAAGAGTTCCAGAATACATACAAAAGGTCGAAAAAAGAAAACCCAGCAGAAAGAACGAGCAAGGCCAAGAAACTCAGAAGCAACTAGACATTTTCCTGCAGCACTCTTCTTGGAAAGCTGACCCCAATAGTGTCTTCCCTCAGGATTCTATCCAATTCTCCTGGAGGGTCTGTTAGATCATGCGTACCGAAGGGATAGACGAGACTGTGCTTCGAGAACCAGTCCGCGACTCTATTCCCCTCTCTATACGTGTGAACTAACTGGACCACCCAGTTTTGAGACATCAAACGCCTAATGGCCGCCAAGATCGTCGAGTGAGGGTGTGCCGGGTCGTCACGATTCTTGATGAGCTCGATAGCCAGCTTAGAATCTGTTTCCAAGATAAGAAATTGGGTACCATGATCCCAAGCCAAGGTCAGGCCTTGATGAATCCCCCACAACTCCGCTAGAATGGCCGAGCCAGTCCCAATCTTGCAACAAAAACCTTTTAGCCAATCTCCATCACTATCTCTGAGAGCTCCTCCAGCAGTTGCCAGACCCGAAGGAGACTGGGACGCTCCATCCGTGTTCAGCTTTCTCCACCCAGCCGGCGGAGCCTTCCACCCGATCAGCTTGTCCTCGCGAAGTGGCTTGTTTCCCGAGACCAGGTTGCTGCTAGCTCTAACCCAGGTGTCGAGCCAGTCCTCCGCCTTGGCAGTCACATAGTTGATGAAAGTCGACTGTGCGAGCTTCTTTCCCTGAAAGACAAAATCATTTCTGCACTTCCAAATAGACCAACATAACAGGGCAAATCTGCTGGGCCAAACTTCTTTATCATTTCCGTCCCCACCACCCTTAAGATTTGTTCGGAACCACGTGGCATGGTCTGCTGAGAAGAAACTATGGTGATTTTGGGCCGGAACCACTTTCTCCCAAACCTTCTTAGCTCCCGAGCAGTCACGCAAGCAGTGTAAGTTAGTCTCGGGGATATCTGAACACAAAGGGCAGTTTTCATTAGTTGTCAGGTGTCTATAGTTCCGCACACTATTTGTTGAAAGCCTCCCTTTTGTTGCAAGCCAAGCGAACCATCTAACCCGCTCCGGGCAATGAAGTCTCCAAATTCCCTTCCAGTCCATATGGTGTTGGTTGCTAAGATCCGAAGAGCCTGCCAAGTACGCCGAGCTAGCACTGAACAAGCCGTTGGCAGTGAGCTGCCAAAACAGCCTATCATTCTCATGGGAGAGAGGATCCAGCATGACCGACCGGATCTTGTCGACGACCTCCTGAGGCAAGTAGCTCTGAAAGTCCTGAACCTTCCATCCGTTGTTTGCCTCCCAGTAGTCAGCCACCGTTTTGTGCTCTAACCCAGTAGGCAGAGCCGAAGTGATCACCTCCGTCAAAGGTACCTGCAAAACCCACGTATCCGTCCAAAACTTAGTTTTCCTACCATTCTTAACATTATAGGCTGCTCCTTTGCGCACTAAATTAATAGTATGAGCAAAACTATTCCAAGCAAAAGAGCCTCCCTTTCTTTTGTTGATGATTTGCAACCCTTGTCTGGTTCCCCCGTATTTACTTCGCATCACCCGAGCCCAAAGAGCTTGATCGTCCGACACCAACTTCCACGCTCCCTTAGCCAATATTGCTTGGTTTGCCAGTCTAGTGGGTCTGATCCCAGCTCCCCCTTGCTGTCTCGGTCTTGTCATATGGTCCCAAGATATAGGGTGGAACTTTGTTTTTCCTTCCTCATCCCCCCAAACGAACTGTCGATTCAACCTGTCAAGAGAAGCACAAACACTCGCAGGCAGACGCTCAGTAAACATAGGATAAATTGCCATAGACGAGGCTACTGCTTTCACCAGGGTGATCCGGGCTGCGACAGAGAGATGATTTGCCTTCCAAGCCGCGAGCTTTTGCTGAATCTTCAAGATCAGCTCTTGGTACCGCCCCTTCGTGACCCTGCCATTGATAGCTTTCAAGCCCAAATATCTGCCCAGATCGTCAGTTAGGGTGATACCAGCCCTCAAACTGAGTCTCTGAGCTTTGTCCTTGTGGATATTAGGTGACACAAACATGGCAGACTTGCTGAGATTGACTCTTTGTCCTGAGCTAGAGCAAAAATCCTGCAAACAAGAGCGAATAACGTCAATCTGCCCCCCTTCAGCTTCGGCAAACAAAATCAGGTCATCAGCGAAAAATAAATGAGAAAGCTTTGGACCATTCTTAACAATAGAAATTGGTTTCCAGCGTTTCTCGTCTACTGCTTGTTCAATGAGGTGAGCAAGTCTTTCCATACAAAGAACAAAAAGAAACGGGGATAAGGGATCTCCCTGTCTGACTCCTCGAGACGGACTGAAAGTCGAGGTGAGCTCTCCGTTCCAATTGATTCTCATTTGGTTCTTCTCCACACACGTCATAATCCGGCTGATCCACGTACTTGGCAGCCCTATTTCTCCCAGAGTGTCTCTCAGAAAGCTCCAGTGAAGCCGGTCATACGCCTTCTCTAAGTCAATTTTGATCACAAGGCCACCCTTTTTACCCTTCCTCTTCCTCAAGGAGTGAAGCGTCTCTTGTAGAAGAAGGATGTTATCGTTAGTTTGTCGACCCTTGATAAAACCACTTTGAGTAGGAGCAACCAGCTTAGGCATCAAAGGTTTCAGCCTGTTAGCAATAGCTTTAGTGATTGCTTTCAGTGAGACATTGTTGAGACTGATAGGCCTGAATTGAGCCGGAGTCTCGGGATGAGTCACTTTGGGAATAAGCACCACTGTGGAATCAAAAATCTCATCCGGAATGTTCCCCGTCTCGAAGAAGTGAATAGCCATCTCGGTGAGATTCCTCCCTACCATGGACCAGAATTTCTGATAAAACATCGCCTGAAAACCGTCAGGTCCAGGAGCCGACATCGGCTTCATTTCAAAAATGGATTTGTGGAAATCTTGAATTTGGAAAGGACGGAGTAACTGAAGAAGATCTGTCTGCTGCAGGCGCGGAAAGCATCCCTTGGGCATCAAGTCTTCATACGTCCCGTCCTCTTGCGTATAGACCCTCTCATAGAACTGAACCACTAAATCCTTTACTTCTTCTTGGCTGTCTATCCAGTCTCCGTTACTATTCCGCAAGGCCAAAACTTTGTTTCTCCTCCTTCGTCTAGTTGCCTGTTGATGAAAGTAAGAGGTATTCTGCTCGCCAAACTTCACCCATTTTTCACTTGCTCTCTGGTACCAGTAGAGCTCTTCTTGAGCAATGATGAGGTCCAATTCCCTTTCCAGCTTTAACTGAAGCTTCACTAGGCTTGGGCTAAAAGAGTTTGCAAGTCTAACTGTAATACCCTGCAATCTGGCTAGAAGTCTCTTCTTCTTGCGCCCAATGGAGCCAAAAACGTCGGTCTTCCACTGCTGAGCCTTGCCCGCAAAGTCATTGAGGGCATCAAGAAGGGTCGACTCTTTATCCCAACTAGACTGTACAAAATCGCTGAATTGAGGATGTAGCAACCAAGCCGCCTCGAAACGAAAAGGTCTAGCAATAACATTTGGCTGGCCCATACTAGAATATCTCGTCATAATCGGCAGATGATCTGAGTGGAACTTGGGGAGGTGTTGAACCACTGTATTAGGGAAGGAGCAATTCCACAGATCATTGCACATGGATCGATCAATTCTGCTCGCCTTGTGAGTTTCAGCAGTAGCTCCCCTGAACCACGTGTACCGAGAGCCCGAGAAACCCATATCCGTGAGGCCGGCTTCATTCACCCAAGCTAGAAACTTCTTACATCGCCTTAAGTCCCTAGCAGTACAGGCTCCTTTCTTCTCATCCGGGTTCCCAAAGGCATTAAAGTCACCTGTTAGAAGCCATGGAAGCTTCCAAGTCTTGCTAAAACGAATGATTTGATCCCACAAGAGAGGCTGATATTGATAACTGGGACTGCCATACACACAGGTGAGAATCCAATCTTGGTGACCTTGCTTAGAAACCTTAACTGAAATGTGTTGTCTACTGGCGTCCACCCACACTACTGTAAAATCATCTGACCTCCAAGCTAACCATATCCCTCCCGACCTGCCACTCGCATCAACTCTTATAATCTCATCATAGCCCAATTTGCTGCAGATCGAGTTCGCCCTTTCTCCGCTGATCTGCGGTTCCAGAACAATTAAGAAATCTGGTTTATACGTGCTTCTCATCAGCCGAATAGCTCGAAGAAATTTTCTGCCTCCTGCACCACAGACGTTCCAAGATAAAATATTTAAGTTAGTTTGATAATTCATGGAAAAAGAAATTGAAAGAGTAAAAAACAAGCAGAGTCGGAAAGAGCTCAGGTGGCTTCATGTGTAGATGCCTCCTGTCCCCCTGCGTGGGACTGCTCTTTGGAGGTTTCCATGATGCTCCTCTCAACCATAGCCACATCTCCTTTCTCGATGTCGAGAGGCCCCGAGAACCTATCACTTTTCTTGTGGGATGGGGTGCAGAATTCCTCTATCGCCTGAATCGATATCGGAAAGACCCCCTGTTTCTGTTTCTGATGAACCTCTTTCTTGCCGGGGCTCTGGATTTGAAGGGGTTTTTTCAAGGCCCTTAGATTCACACCCTTGTGTTGCGTTGAGCGTTCCGTCTTTTGCCTGGGGAAGTGTTGTCGGATCGAAGAGGAGCTGGTGTTGGGGTTCTGATTTTCTTTCTGGGGCAGGCTCAATTCAGGGACCTCTAGAATTTGGATTTTTGTCTTGTTTGGGCCGGTTACCAGAACGGTAGGAAGAGACTCAGGTTGTTGTTCGTTGGTTGATTTAGAGGCTGGGTCTGGTTGATTATCCATAGCGGCCTTAGTTGTTGGGCCAGGTTTAAAGAAACCTTTCTCATTGTTGGACGATGTTTCCCCCCGTTCCTTTGGCCCAACAGGCCTCCACTCTTTACTGCCGTTCGTGTTCTTGTTACCGTTGGCACCAGCACCTTCATCAACACTTTTCCCTTTATTGACTCCCTGCTTCACCTGTTTAGCACCCAGCTTCTGCTCATGCCTTCCTTTAGTTTCCATAATATCCTTTGCTGATTCACTAGCTCCCCTTCCTTTGTTAGCGCCCAAATCCCGCCCAGCTTCTTGCTTTCTTCCTTTATTCGCTCCCTGACTCTGCGCCTGGGTCGATTCGAATTTCCTAATCTGTTTCCTTCCCTTTCTGACGACCTGCATCCATGGCCCGTAACCGGAGGGAATCTCCGGCGACTCCCCCGTCGGATGAGCATTGTGGTCTTGATCTGTCGCCATTGGGAGGGCCTTCAGAGGGATTGGATTCCGTGATGGGCATCCTTCATCCAAATGCCCAATCCTGCCACAGGCATAGCAAATGGTTGGTAGATTTTCGTAGAGGACACCCTGCCAGGCGCCGTCAAGTCTGATTCGTGTCGGGAGGGGTTTGGACATGTCCAGCTCGATGGCGATACGCGCGAACTTGCCTCTCTCCAGATTTTCGGTGTGGTAATCGAGCTTGACCGTCCTGCCGACGAGATTTCCTATGGCGAAAAGAACCTCCCTGTGATAATAGTGGACTGGGAGCTCAGGGAACTGAACCCAGGCAACCACTGATCGATGTGGCTTGTCCGATGTACGGAAATTTGGGGACCACTGATGAACTACAAGATAATGATCCAGAATTACCCACGGGCCTCCTGTCAAAGCTCTTAAGTAATCTTGATCGCTTCCAAACGTTGTTAGAAAAGTATCGTTGTTCAGGTCCATTATCTCCAAGGAACCGGTCGGCCTCCACAACCGACGCAGTTGAGAACAAAGAAAATTGTAATTGACCGATCGCCCAAGGAGGCGAATTATTAGAGTTCTCCTCCATGGCTGACAGAGTCTTTCTTTCAGGTTCGCTGAAAGCTTCAGCTCCGGTACCCCCTGGAAAGTGCCTGTCTCGATATCATTGGAGCCGACGAAAGTCCATTGGGTTGATCTCCTTGATGTTTCCTGAGTGTTACCGGCCAACACCGCCTTGAAATTCAGAGGTTGTGATACGGTTGCGGGAGTAGCCGCCTCATTCCCCTGTAGGCTGATCTTTGATTCATCCGGGGGACGCCCGGACAATTCCAGAGCCATCGCCGGCGGAGGAGGAGAGGCCTGTCCGTCAGCTGAGAGCATTTTTTTTTTATTTTTCACCCAGCTGCCTTATCTATAGATAGATAGATATAGATAGATGGGTTGAAAGTAGGGATTATTGCACCGTAAGACCGTAGAAACAGTTAATGACAGCCTATAACACCAGTAATTTTATATTGGTGTGTGGGTCATGGACAGGTCTGACCTATATGAGATTATGATTTATGAGTATGTAATTTAAAAGAAAAATATTTAATATATTCATTTTCCATTAAAAAAAATAAAAACCCAAGATATATTATTTGAGATATTGAGATTCTCACATAATTACAATTTCATTATAGCTAAAATATGAAGTAATAAAAGTAAAATCTTAAGTAATTTAAGTAAAATAACATGTAATTTAGATAAAATGGATCAAGAATGTGGCATATCAAGATAGATCAAAGAGAATACTCAATGTATGTCCCGTCAGGACAAGTATCAACCATAAATCATGTAAAACATATCAGGTCGAAATTGTCAATCCCTAATCGAGAGCATCCATTCGTGATTGTCATATCGGTGACATGTCAGTCGGTTAAACCAGGTCCAACCAATTCCAATCATGAAGCTAACATGAGCACCACTGATATGACCAACATGATCAACTAACGAATTTCAGGTCCAACCAATTCCAATCATGAAGCTAACATGAGCACCACCGATATGACCAGTATGATCGACTTACGAATTTTAATCCGGTTTATATCATAATCTCTTGACAAGGTCCAAACCGGTTCAACGCACTAGCTTCTAGGCTTCGTGGGGCGAGGCCATAAATCCTAGATTCCTAGTCTGCCAAAGCTCTACCGTTTCCTTCCAACAGTATAAATATACACACTCCAAACCCTACCAATTCCATCTCGCACCCGTCTCTCCTTAGGGAAATCAAAAAACCCTTTCAACTCCCAATTTCAATTCGGAATAATGGCCAAGAAGCGCCCAGTAGAGGAGAACCCACCGCCGCCGCCGGAGTCAGAGGAAGAAGAAGAAGACGAGGAGGGGAGCGAAGTGGAGAGCGAATCCACCGATGACAACCACACGTCCTCTGCTGCTGCTGCCGCTGCCGCTGCCAGTCATGGGAAGAAGGCGTTGGACTCTTACGACACCGAGTCCGACGCCGAGGCCGAATCCAGTTCGGGTCGGTCTTCTCCTTCGGCTTCCGCCTTTCAGCTGAAGCCCGTCACCCCCGCAAAGATCAAGAAGCCCACCCCCGCCGCATCAACCGATCCCGAAGCTGCCACCGACAAGAAGAAATCTGCTGCCATCAGTGGCGGGAACGAAGAAGAAGAGGAGGAGGAGGAAGTAAGAAAAGGCAGCACTCAGGGGCGTTGGAGCGAGAGCGACGAGATTGCGCTCCTTAGCGGGATGATTCAGTACAAATCTGAAAGGGGTTCCGATCCCTCTTCTGATATGGCTGCTTTTCTCGATTACATCGAGAAATCGATTCAGAACAAGGTCTCCAAGACCTCGCTCGCCACCAAAGTCAGGAGATTGAAGCAGAAGTATCAGAGCTTGGCTGAAAAGAGTAAGGCCGATGGTGAGTACCCTGTTTTCTCCAAGTCTCATGAACAGAAATCGTTTGAGCTGTCTAAGAAAATCTGGGGGTCTGAGGGTGAGAAAAGTGAGAAGACTAGTAAGAAGAGCAAGAGTAAGATCAGCTCCAAAGTTGACAACATTGGTACTAGTGCTGGGGTTACACTAGCTTTGCCTAAGCAGGAACCGACTAGCAGCCTGGCCCCTAGTGCCAAGAAGCCAAGGAGGGTCTCAAATGAAGAATTGAATGGAGATCATAAGAAGAAGGGGGGCAGTGGCAACACCAGCAGCCTGGTGAATGGAGAAGCGAAACGGGTTGCTCCCACGGTTGAAGAAAAGAAAGATGTCGAGGATGGAAAAGAAGAGGAGAAGAAGCTGTGTGACAAGTATCCTTATTTATTTGCATCCATGGAAGAGCCAACAGTTAATGAGCAAGTGAGAAAGGTTTTCATGAATGAGGTTGGAAAGACTGATGAGGCAATATTGAAGGATTGGGAGTCGAGGTGGAAAACGCTGAAAAGGGCTGAGTTGCAGCTGTTTGTGCAACGGATGTCGTTGATTAACGAACAAGTGAAAGGGGCGATGGATGTGTGCAGGTCTGAATGAGAGAGTTTGTGTTTATGAATGTCTCTCTTGTGTGGTGAAAGCATGTAAGGGAATGGATTTTCGTTTATGGAGGTAAAGGGGTTTGGGTTTTCTTTTGTGAGGAAGTTGAATTCTGTCTAGTTTTAGTATGTTGAGGAGTAGCAGTTCCTTTTTGCAGTTCTTTTGTTATGCTATGGGTATTATGATGGGTTGTCGGAATTGGATGAACTTGGTTAATGATATTCGTAGTACAAAATTTTGTCAATTGTTGTTAGTATGATATGGTTGCTGTGTTCCTTGGAATTAAATTTGGGTTTAGTTTTTGATAGCCTTCACTTGTGGGAAAGTTTCAAGGTCATTAGTGGTAGAGCAAGAACAAGAAGAGATCAATTCATGGGACCATGGAAATATTGCCATGATCAAAACCATGCGGTTATAGATGAGTAGGTAGATACGGAAAAGAACTGTGGAGCTACAGTACGAGAGCGATAATAGAGACTAGAGTAGTTGATAAGACATTTCTGCGGCCTTACGTAGTTTAAATCTCTTGAAGTTCGTCGTTTCTCTCTTAGGCGAGGCATCAGCTACATGTATCATGTATGTCTTTGACCAGCTCTGCTGAGTGTTTGAGTTGCAGACCGGTGGCAAAAATGAAGATGAAGTAGCAACGAAGGATATAAATTAACACCCAAAAAAGGGAAAGTTGGACAAACACAACACAAATTTAGGCTTAACAAGCTGATGGAAACCAAGCAAGCAAAGGCTGGCTCTCTAGCTACTTTTCATCACTAGCAGCATTGGCAGAGATGTAGTAAGCAACAGAAAAGAGGCCATGAACAAAACACAAGATCCCTCCAATGGAGAAGAAATGGTGGTGTGTGAACCCACATGAAGCTCTTGACTTGTTGTTTGACAATGTCCCAATCACCAGCATCGACAACCCAATTGCCAATATGATCCTGCCATTATTAGAACAAAAGCAAATTTGAATTCCCCATTACAGAACCAGCTCACAAAAACTAAAAGAAAGAAGCAATCATTAAAACCCCAAATGTATTGATATACCAAGTGAAGAAGAAGCAAGCAACAGAGAGTTGTTTGTGAGGAGAAGCCCTCTGAAGTTCGTCTTGGGAGCATATGCAAAGGCAGCCACTAAGCAAGTTGGCAATGACATGGGCTAGAACAAGGAGCCCAGCTGCAGCCAGCCCTAGCTTGAATGCACCATTGCTTGGATCTCTGCACTCAAATATCCATAGCCTCAAGTGCTTAACCTAAACCAAAACATAAGATGATTACATTACACAGACATAACAGACCCAGTTTCTTCAGATGTAAGTAATGTTGACATGATAACGTTACACAGATCTAATAAAGCCAGAGTCTCTTCTGTACCTTGTTCTGTGAAACTTCTGCTTGGAAGGCAAGGATTCCAGCACCAATGTCCATGGCTACAATCAAGATGCAGATGAAAAGGCCAACTATTTTCCCCATTTTTTCATGAAATGAACTTTTTTGGGAGGCAGGGTAGGGAAGAGTAAACAGAAAGGAGAGGAAGCAGAGGAGAGGAGAGGAGGGAGGTTAAGAAGAAGATATACTAGGATAGTAAGTAAAGCACAAACTAAAGTAAGAAAGGTGAGTGTGTACAGTGTAGAGTAGTAGTGACTAGTGAGAGAGCAAAAGCCTCTTTTTGTTGTAGCAGTGGAATGGGGAACTTTATTAGTTTGCTCTTCTTCTTCTCCTTCTTCTTTTTCCACACTGTACATCTTTTGCTTCTGGTTTACCATTATTTTTTGTGTGGGTATGTACTGCCTTTCGAGGCTTCTTTTGTCTTTTAGGGATTCCTTTGATGGAGGAGGAGAGGAAGGAAACAGCTAAACAAATAAAAGGGGAAAGAGCGCATAATCCAGCTCATGGAAAGGAGAGGTGAAGAACACAGATCCTTGTGCTTGTGCATCTCAAGAATCAATGGGTGAAAAAGGCAACTTCTAGGTTATTGTTGTTTCCTTTAGTTTTATCCACCGGTAACATGAAACAGAAATCATGGCTGCAAGGACTAGTGGGTTTGGGTCCATGAAGTCCAGAGCAGTATTAGACGAATGAACTTTGATGTTCCATCCAGCCATATAAGATGTGTTTGAGTTATCTTGGATCACAGTAATTCAATTTTGTATCGATGGTGTACAAATAGACTTGAGGGGATGTTTTTTTTCCTAGAATGTCAATAAATATATGCGTGACGATGAAACTATAATCATCTTGCATTTTTATTAATATCTCTTTGTTCCTTCGTTATCTTAAATCTTATTCATCGCTATTAGCATTTCGTCCTAAGATACCCACATGTGAATTAATCGTTAATGAGTCCTTTCGAACATCTATGCTCTTGGGGCTCCTTGCATGTATCTTTTCTCTCGCTAAACTTTTGTATCCTCATTCCATTACTCTTTACAAACACTTCGTGCGTGATATGTATATCAAATAAGTAAAACTCATATCATTCTCAATGCATTTGATTATGAAGAAGTAAGCTCTCATTTTTAACAGTTGAACGACCGGGTGGGTTCCATCCAAATCCAATCCAACAACATTACTCATGGCATGGCTGGCAGGCCCGGCCCTGTGCTGGTCAGACCCACAGCACAGGGCCTCAATTTTATTTGGGCCTCAAATGCTACCTTGGGCTCGCAAGAATCCCCACATAAACCCTTAGTCTGGAGGCCCCGTTGGGATGGCGAGGCCCACACTCGAACCACTTGGGCTGGCGAGGTCCACACACAAAAACGCAAATTACAAATGCGCAGGAGGAGACTATCCTCCCACACACAAAAAACGCAAAGTACAAATGCGCAGGAGGAGAATCTAAATAAGACGCAACCACTAAGCTACGGCTTGTTAGTTGAATCAAAACTAACAGTTAGTTATTTAATCTTCTTCTCATTTCCGAAAATTCTCAACTTCCCAAAAATATCCAACGCCTAAATATGAATTGTACACACCTAATTCTAATTATGTCAACCCGAAAATTTGAAAAAGTTAATTTCTATTTTCCAATCATTTTCTGAAGTTGTCATTTTTATTATTATTTAATAATTTTATTTTTTAAAAATTTATGAAAAAATGTTTTGGGGTCACATTTTAAATTGTCGAACAGGGTCTCGGATTATCATGGGACGGCCCTGATGGCTGGCTATAAAAAGGCGAGCCCTTGGAGTGATTTCCTCCTCTCGTGCCCCCACAACTCCAACTTGTCAAAAGCAAGTCGGTGGACAGTACAGAGAAGAGGAGAAGATAAGCCCAAAATGTCAAATATGCTTTCCTACGAAGAAATTTGCAGCTGTGTTTCCCATCGTGTTCCATTTCGAGGCCCGTGCATGCATTTCTTTTCTCAAGGCATAAATCTGAATCGAGACTATACAATCCCGATTCCCGCGTAAAACCCACCATGGAAATTTACTGTTTCAAAAAACAAGTAGAAAGAACAGAGTTGGGTCCACAGCGAAAAATTAAAATTGAAGATTTGAGGAAACTTGAACGGGAACGGCTACCTCCTGCAAAGTATGAAGAACAGACCACCCAAAGAAGCCACAGAGGAAACAAAATCGACGAGCGCCACACAGCAACACACAAGTCGAGTTCAATCAGTTGCTCCCATTCCGGTCAGCAATTTGGTCGACGAGTCTGATAACAAGACACTAGCTAATGAAATTAGAATATTACAAGCAAAGCTACAATATTTTTCCCACTTCTTTTCCTTTCAATCTATTTTCTACTTAAAACTAGCTGATAATAAACTAACCACGACTATTTAATGAATTACAAATTACAAACCACTAAGAGAGAAACTTCTAAAACTAAAAACAAGCTAAAGAGATTTACAATTGGAAACTGTACAGAATAATTGACGGAGGAAAGCAAGAGCTGCTGTTGCTGGAAGGACACTTGTGCTCCCCCTAGAATGATCTTAACCATACTTAAACCCCCAAACTACCAAGGGTAAGTTGGCAACTAAAATTGATCAAATCATTCCAAACGGAAACTACATAAAGAAAAAACACTAACGGTTGGTTTCCTAACCAGAATCCTCCCATCCAAGTGCAGCTTTCTTTCTCCCAGGCATCTCAATTAAGGAAGCAACTAATAGCAATCACCTATCCCACATTGCCTGGAACACCGTCGGTCTGTGCTTCAACCAATGCAACATCTCCCTGTCCAGATTCGTGTTCTTTACGATGGAGTCGAACATCGGGCTCCCAAAGACCCTCTGACTGCTGTTGGTAAAAGACCATATCTGATCCTTGGGCCACGGCTTCTGTGGGTACTTCTCCTGCAAAAATAAGAGATTGCAAACGATTACACAATCGACCTTGAGCCTTCACCTCTTTTTGATATATCATGATTCATGATATAGTTTCAAACTGGGTCCTGCTAAACATACTCACCATTCTTTCCAGCATTACTTTCAGGTTCTTGGGGCCATAAACACGCTGCTGAGTTGGCTTCTGAGCCTTGGCGTAAAAGGAACCTATGTCAGGCAATGACAGGCATCCCTTGGTTGCTCTAGCAAGGGTAGTATCCGGGTCTGTATTTGTCTGTATATGCCAAAAAATCAGCTGTCCTATACAATAGTTCTCTCCGTACGTCTTCCGATACTCATGGTTACCAGGACCCAGTTTATCAGCAGACTTCGGGCCTAAGTCAAGTGGACTAATGTGAACTGGTGGAGAAGTAAATGCGGCATATTCCTGAAACAACAAAAGAAGAGCATCATTAGCAAACCAAGAATACTAGTTTACAAACCATCCCCAATCCCCAGCCACATGCAACCTAGGGAAAGCTAACCAGTTTGGTTAGGGAAACCAAAAGCTGCATAACCACTAAGGACAGCTGCAGATAAAATACTGGAAGAAGGACTCACCCGAACTCTAAAAAAGCACTTTGTGTAAGCATAAACATGAATCAAGTCAGCTGCAGCATCATGCCGGCACCTATATGTACATGGAAGATTCCGGATCTCATCCCTCAACCTTCACACGAAAATTCAGATATAGTGTCAGGTACCAGAACCCAAAAAAGAGAGCGGTTAATAAGAAAAGCTAAAGAAAATTTTTAGTATATGCCCACCATAACAACGATCTTTGAAGTTCTTTCTGTACATCAGCACAATCTGATGGATCATGTGCACGTATCTTGGACTTGAGATCATTTAGATTGTCTGAATCCATATGAAGAGCCATGCACTGAAGCAGTTCCTCAACTAGTGATCCCTCCCCTTTCCAAAGGACTGAAACAATTTCTTCCGGACGAAGCCTCTCTAGCGGTGGTGGAGCTTTCTTCGGGTCGCCATATATAGATTTCATCACATACCTCACCTGTGTAAGCATTCGAGAGCATAAATCATGAGTGGAAGTAACAGATTAACATGGGTACAAGTAAAGATCTCAAAAGAGATTAGTCTAAGCAGAGCCTTAATAGTTGATTGCAAAGTGCCTAACAGATTATCCACCCATATGAAAACAATGTTCTCACCTTGTCAAGAGTGATAGCCACGTTTTGAAGCCTCTGGTTGTAGACACCTTCAGCCTATAAAGTCAAAGTAAGAGGAGTATCAAGTAAAGTGAGCACAAATAAACACTAGAGTAGGTCTTGAAGTAACTAATATTTCCAAGCATGAATTCAACGCAACGCAATTTACCTGAACCTCTGCATCACTTCTCTCAACATCAAGAGATATTTCGGAGTAGTATTTCTTTTTCTCTTCCAAGTTATGCTTCAGAATTTCTTGAGGCAGCTTTGTCCTTTCAAGGTTTATGAATCTCACCTTTTACATACAAACAAAGAATCCATCAGGAAAAATGTGGAAACAGGAAACACCAAAAGAACGAAGAATATTCTGGAAACTAGTCAAAGAGACACACCAAACGAGCTGAATATGCAACCACCCAGTCCGGCAATCCACCAAGCAGACAACTTCCTAAACCAGCCCTCCCCAAGTCGAGATAATCTTCCTCGGATACACAACTCAATTCGCAAGCTTCTAGCATCAAGTGATGTCTATCCAGTACTCCATGCCACTCTTTCAGCACCTGCAAAACAATAATAGTCCAGCTAAATAGGGAAGGGGAGAGGTAAAGAACTTTGAGGTAATTCTAAAAAAAAAACAATCATGCTACCAAACACTTGGAAGAACCAAGGGAAAGAGCACCATAATGCCCCCCACAATTTGTACCTTCTGGAAAGCCCCTTCACCAGTCAAATTCAAGTAGCTCCCTCGGCAAACTTGGCTTCCACACAAACAAACTGATGCTTCATACTCTTCTTTACTCTGCAATGCACAAGAATCTATGATGTCTAAAAATATATATTATAGGCACACTTGAGTAAGGAAGTTTGAAATTATAATACACGCACTTCTGTCACGGAGTTGTAATCAAACGTGATTTCCTCGCCATTTTGAATTTCACGGACAGAGTAAATTCCAATTTGATACTGTCCAGCTACTGCTGTAACCCTGCAATCAGAACCAGGACAAATGCACATAGTTGAATAAGGATATGGTGGAATTAACTGAAAAGTAACAAACAGAAAACAAGTGAAGAGATGCGTCCAGTTAAATCCATCCAACAAAAATTGACTGGTTTGCATCATTTGTAAGCAACAGCAGAACACAAACATACCAACAACATCTCACATCAACCCTGGCATTCCTAGCCCAGTGAAAACAATGATGAGTGTGAGGGAAAACTTATAAGAGGCTCAAATAACACTCTTTTTACCATTACTATAGGCAAGAAAAATATCGGATTCCAGAATTTTGTAGCGTGTAAACCATCCAAGGTGTTGTAGATTTGAATGCTGGTGCTTTCAAGGTCTATATGAATCATAGTTCATTAATTCAAGTATACATGAAATCAATAGGTGCACGAAGTACACAACGGAGGACAACTATGATAAAAAAAAACTCTTAGGCATCTCAACAGCATTGCAAATTCCTCTTTCTATCAGGGAAAAGCAAACATAAATAATCATTGATATACTCACTTTGCTTCACAATTGGGTCTGCAGGAATGGCATATCCGACTAGCATAGTTTGCTTTATGCATCGCATCGACAACCACGAGATCATAACCATCCGCATCACCCTACAAAAGAACAAAAGAACAAGTGTTGCTCAATAAAATAAATCAGAATGGCATCTGAGACATCAATACCAAATATGCAATTCCGACAAACTACCTTCGGCCTCTCAAGATAGATATTGTAAAATTCTGGAGCTGGCTCTTTACTGTCTTTCTGTAAAGAACGAATACCATCTTGCTTTTCAAACCACTTCCAAGCAGGATAGACCTGTTCATAGCATTTTCAGATTATCATAAATCAAAGATTGCAAAAGGAAGCCTAGTGAGAGATACGTGACAGACCCTGACATTTTCCAAAATACTTCAAAGAAATAAGTCATGCAAAAGAAAGGTGGAAGATTCCAACAGTTGAATGTCACAATGAACTTTGATCAATACCTCTCCCAAAAACTCAACAACAAAATCATCTTCTCCAAAGCCACCACCTTTGTTGCAAACAACACCAAGACCCTGGCAGAAAAAGAAGAAAATGATCCAAAGGGGATGAACGAGTAGATAGAGATAAAAAAGGGTCATTGACACACGAGTAGGTATCGAAAAAGTCTACAATAAGCCATACCTTTCTATAAGCAACATATTTGTCATCAGGACGACTATCTATGGCCCTCATGATACTCCGACACATCTTCATTGTTCGTATGTTGCAGTCCTCCTCTGCAGACTTCAGAAGTTCCTCTATAACAGGCTGCAAAGGGTAAATCATGGGGGTGTTCCCAGCACCAGTAAAGCGCCTGACTAGCTTATTTAGAGTTCGGAGGAGCACATCTTCAATAAACTCATGTTTTTCCTGTAGAGACCAATCCATTTCCTCCGGCATAGAATCAAGTAACAGATTGTGGGTATAAGGATCAATTCCATAAACTTCTTGTTCGATAACTTCATCTCCCAGCAATTTTCTAGGTTTGTAGTCTTTAACTTCAGGAAGCTCCATGTCCAATTCCTCGGTGCCACTTTTCTGAGCTTCAAGTTTCTCAACATAGTCATCTGGCAAAGAAACACACATCTTCCGCTTCACATCATCCTCATCTGCAACGATTACATACCTATCTATGACTTCGTATTTCCTAGTCACAGGAGGAACCAGACTTGCTTTGGTCATGCGAGCACCCCACTCACGTTCATCCACAACAGAATAGGAACTCTCCTCTTCCAAGAAATATCCATCTCCTAAACTCCCGTCTCGGCCTCCTGGTTGGAACTCCAAGTCACTTTCAGTATCAGAAGAAGTACCATCACTATAAAACCTGCCATCTCCAGATGATCTGTCAAAATCATCAGAAGTTTCAGTTCCAGAATCCATCGATTTTCTATTCAATTTAGATAGGCGTCTCTTTATTTCTCTATCGGATACATATTCCCCATGAACAAGAGATCCATTTGCTAAGGGAGTCCCATTACTCCTACTGGCATACTTCTTTTCATTGAGCAACTTCTTCTTGTGTTTGTTGTATCCTGAGCTTAGACCGGCAGACAAGTCATATTTCCATGATTTCATGAGCTTATCCCTTTCATAAGGGAACTTGGAACTATCCTCTAAACGTGAGGCAAGTTGAAGAAACAAAGTTGTAATACGATTCATGTTTCCAGCACCACGATTTTTTGCTCTACATAAAAAGATTGGTAACAGTTAGAATCTGATTGCAGCGGACAAATATCAGATACAAAGAAAACACCCAAAAAAGGTAAGGTCTTCATACAGGCAGTCACAGTAACACATTCCAAAACTCGAAAAAAAAGGTAGAGAACAGAAGCTGAGAATCATAGGCGTCCAACACATTACAAAGGGAGGCGTTTTGATGACATAATTTAAATACACAAACAGAAAGTGAATCAATAATCATAGACTTCAATATTGATGGAGACTGCAAACTAATATGTGAAACAACGCACTTCAAATAAGCACGTCAAGTATGTTCAAAGATTTAGAAATTCAATCACCATCTTAAAGAAACTTACTTTATAGCATCCCTGCACATTCGACTAATATCCTCCTTTACAGCCCTCAATCCACGTCCAATGTAGTAGCCATTATCCATGCGAGCTTTGATTTCTGTAACCTAGTATTTTGAAATAAACAAACGAGTAAAAAGGAGGAAAGATGATAAGCAGTACACAGAACGAAAAAGAGAGATGGTGAACCTCAAAAGCCAAATGGTGTTTGTACCTTGGGAACAAAAAAATCAAAGGTATTCTCCTTCATTATGTCCTTCAAGCCCAAAGCAATGAAGCCCTCCATCCTTCTATAGGCACTTTCTGATTTCTTGACAGCCCACCTCCTCATACGAGCATCCCTGGATGCTATTGAAGATGATCTTCTAGCATCAAAAACTTTTGAGCGTTTATATAAACTACGATACAGTTGATTTGCAGAGTCTCTCTTATTCACACTGTCAAAATACTCCTTCAGTTCTCCAAAGTCATCAGCACCACTGCCCAGGGCCCTACTTTTATACAATGTTGAGGGTTCGTCACTGATCTGTTTAAGATTCTTTACTTTGGAATGTAGCTCCTCGGAATGTTTAATTGCAAATGAATTTCGACTCTTGAGCCACTTCATATGTGGAAATTGATGACCCAAGTCAACAAGTTGGCTACAACCTCTAACATCAATGTAAGATACACAAGGTAAGGCACGAAGAACTTCATCAAGAGTGCCAGAAGTAATGTTTGTGCATCCAGCCACCACTACTGAGCTAACCTTTTCCTTTCGGTAACCACTCTGAAAAAAGAAAAGACTGTTTACTCAGTTGAATAGTACAGACAGCAAGTGAACATCAGAATTTGATCAAACACAGAACTTACCACAATATTCCGGATCACCAAGTCAGTGCAGATGGGACCAAGAGATGACAGATCAATCTGCCTTGATATGCCCTTGTAGAACCTGACAGCAGATCTCCAATGCTTACAAGTTAAAGAAGCAAGGGCAATAGACTTTATGTCAGATCTCAGCAAGTGAAAGATTCGCGCCAAAATATGTCCATCCAATAATCCCCATCCTCCCATATTATTCTCAAGAGATGCATTGTTTTCTGCATCCCCGTGGAAAGTGGCATCACCACATAACTCTTCAAAAGTGCCATCATCCTTTTGAATTGCCACCAAATCTTCCCCACCATCATATTCCTCATCACTTTCATCTATCAGCATCCTAGCTCTTTTTCCAGCACGCATTTCTGTATCTGTATTACAAGCACACATATTGTTCACAGGCCAGACTTCAGCAATTCAACATTCAGTAAAATTTCTGCCAACTTGAAATAAAAGATTCACTGCCCAAGTTTCAGAAGCCATTCAGCCTTCTCCCCACCCCTGTGACCCTGTCTAACTAACTCAACGTAATAACTGGCAAGCATCAACCCAACTGAAAGGAAAACATGAAAGTACAAGACATCCAAGGAAAGTATGCTAGCAGGAAATATTTTTCGAAAAACATGCATATTTGATATTAAGACACATGCATAAAGGGAAGTATAAAGAAACCAAAAGGGAAGCATAACCGGATATGGATTGAACAGCAACAAGCTTCACAGTTTACTTATTCGTCAAAGACAAACAATAGCATGCAAGTATAACTGAGAGACCACTGATAGAGGAAGACCTTTAATTTCAGTACGAGATCTTGTTACTGTTGATTATAGAGTACAAATTGGACAACCAAACTTGAAAGTCAATTGATTAAGTAACTCCATACCAGTTTTCCAGTGGATATGTTTGTCAGGCTCTTTCTTAGGTTGCTTCGCACTGATCCATGGATCCAAAACCTCATTTATGGCAGCAGCAAACTCACGAGTTTTGAATGATTTCATAACCAGCTCATGAAGCTTCCCACGGGTATAGCCAATGAACTGCGGATGTAGGCCATGAAACTGGCTACCATTTTGGCTTTGTCCCGGATTGGCTTCACTCGGTGATCTTGAAATAGCATGGACCGAAATGCCAACACTAGCTTCAGAAGCCTCACCAGAAGAGCTAACTGGAACCCAAACCCTATCAAACTTTCTGTACACACTGCTGTGCTTCTGTATGGTACCTTGGTCAGCCAAAGACTGCAGCTCCAAATACGAGAATGGTCCTTGCTCATGCCCAGCACCATCAAGATAGTACCACTCCCCCAATGTCAACTGTAAATCCTCCGACGTACAAATCTTGTCTTTCGGTATGCAAATCGACTTCCAAGATGTAGAAAGATCTTGTTCACTAACAGTTTTGGATTGAGAATCTGTATCTGACGTTGACCTCCTCGAGTCGTTAGCTGCAGAGTGCGTCCTGGAAGACCTTGAAGAATATCTGTCCTTTCCTCGGGCTTTGCTCCGCGGATCAGAAACAAATGAACCATGATCATTAACAACACATGCATTAATCCTGACCACGGGCAAAGCAGTTCCCCTCACTCCCCTTACTACAGGAGGTTTAGTGACATTCAACCTGTTTGCACCAACAGTTTCATTCTTCTCGTCTTGACTGGAGAAAGCCCAGGGAGGGAGTTCAAGCTTTTTGCTGTGAGAAGGATAATACAATTCATCTTTTCTCTGCCACCTAGGGTCCTCGGAGTCAGACTTTGGCATCAGGCACAATGGAAAACCATCATTAAGAACCATTTTTCTTCTCGGAAACGTATCGACAGCCTCATCATTCCTGATCCAGTCCCCACCTTTACATGACCATCGACCAGAAAACCAGCCGACTGGGTCATCTGCAGATACAAAGTCATTATCTTTCTCAGAGATAAAACTTGATTTCAATTCAACAGCCACTGTCAGCTTCACATCTGAAGATTTTGATGATTCGTCACTTTGTTGATCCTGATGAGAAGTTTCATGCAGACTAGACCCTGCACATACAAGCAAGAAGCATGAACCATGCAAGAGAAAAGAGAGCAATCCATTGAAACAAATGAAGGACATCAATCAAATCAAGGACAGATAATTCCAGCACAGATGGTCAACAAACACAAACATACCTTCCGACAATCCATCCCACTGCACTTGCGTAAACGTCGTATGTAAAATCTCTGGGGGGGCAAAAATAATTGTGAATTCCGTCACTAAGAGTTATGGAGAAAGTTGAGTAAGGCAGTTCCAAGGATGGGAAAGTAAATGCGCAAAAGAAGAGAGAATATCTTTACCTCCTATAGCCTCAAGTTCCCTGCCAGGAACAAGGGTAGCATCCTCCAGCAGCATCATCACCCTCTTATCAATATGGAGATCAGGTGCACTGGCATCAGGGAATGCCAGTGTCTCTACCAAAGTTTGAGGTGCTTCTTCACCATCATGACTACCAGACTGTCCAATACCCACAGAATCTGCCAAAAGATTACCCGGTGCCTCTGGAGGACTAACAAGCTGGGTAATCGATTCAGACACAATGGACCGGGAATTGGGTGATTCTTTAGGAGAAACTGCCCTTTCAACGGTCATCCACCTATTGCTATCCAAATGCTTGATCAAGTGATCTGAGAAAAGAACTCCATCATCCACCAGCCCTTTAAGGTCAGATAACTTTGCAGGCCCACGTTCAATACCAAAGTAATCAAGGTAGAACCACTTTCCAGTGGATGAATCGGCTACAACAGGGCCATGAGGTGGGGTATCACATATATCCATATCTTCCTCCATAGACTGCAGTTCTTCCAGTGGTGGTTCAACGAGAAGAGAAGAATCTTTGATATCAGCTTTTGGGCACTCAGACTTCTCTTCTTTACAGGTCGTCTCACAATTGGCACTTTTATGACCTAGTCCATCAGGAATATATGTATTGCTTCTCTCTTGAGCTTCTGTGGATGTCACCTGAGAATCCCTTCCAATTGCATCCGCGTGGCTGAGTATATCCTCGTGTCCTTTGTTTCCATGCTGAGAATCTCTCTTCTCACGAGCTCCGTCTTTCCGGCTAGCTTCCTTGGAGTTACTGTGCTTACCACGGTCAAGTGGAGACCGCTCTGGACGGTTTGTGGTTCGATCCTTGCGCTCATGGTAATGAGCTCTATCTTGAGGAGAACGCTGTGTTGGGGTTCTGTTTCGGCGGTTCTTCTCGTATGGGGATTTCTCACGTCCATATGGAGATCTCTCCCGTACAAAAGGGGACTTCTCTCGACCAAGTGGAGATCTTTCACGTCCATGTGGAGATCTGTCACGTACATGGAGAGACCTAACTCGACCATGCGGGGATCTGCGAGCTGGACTCCGTTCTCTGTGATCATGTTGGTTTCTATTACGCGGGGACCGCTCCAGCTGCCTCTCAAATACTACCTTGGATGACAGAGTGGGTTCATGACACCTGGCTGAATATTTGTCACCTGACGGAGTTCTTGCTGACAAAGGATTTCGATTATATCTCTCCACAGAGTGACGAGAATGGTGCTCAGGGTGAGAAGAACGAAGACTATCGTCAGAAAGCCTCCTGCTTTTAGAACCCGTATAATCCCCATAATCTCCACAGTGTTTCCGCTCATTACTATCAGAATCAGTGACATGCCGCTTCAGTCTGTTAGAAGAAGAAGTGTTCTCTCTAACATGACTCTTACCGTTACAGTGTTCTGCGCTTTTATGATTGCCTTCCTCATCCACTATCTTCGAACTTATCCTTATACCCCGATCTTGAGCACCCTCCAATCTCAAAGCACTTTTTGAATACTGGGTAGTCCCGCTTCTACCGACATCTTTCCTTCTGTAAAGATCTTCACCTGGATACCTGACAGAAGGTGGTGTGCGGTCTTTAGGAGGATCATATCTGCCACGGAACTTGCCATAACTGTAGTCTACTTTATTATGCCACCTGTCAGGAATGAATTCTCCTTTTTCAAGTTCATCTCTGGAAAATTCCCCATTGCGCCATTTCCCAAAAACGATCTCCCCCTTCTCGACCTCGCCTCTTCTCAATTTCTCCCCAACGATCTCTCCCTTCTCAATCTCACTTCTTCGCTGCGTATTCTCCGGCGGGAAAAATTCTCCATTTTCAACTTCACCCCGGGGTGGTGGCCACTTCAAAGTGCCCAATTCACCTTCTTCAACTTCTTCTTTACAATTCTGTGCCTTGTGGTCGACTGCCACGGAAAAGTTATCAGCTTCCTTCGCACTTTTTGTTTCTACTTCCTTCCCGCCAGCTGCTGCCACACCGTCCTTCCTAACCTGGGTATCAACTTCCCCGGAATTCTTCCTGTCAGCTTCCTTGACAGTCTTCAAATCCACTTGTTGGGTGTTCTTCGTCGTCCCAGCTGGGTTGCTACTCAATCCTTCCTTCTTCCTGCGCAATTCACCCTTTTCGCCAGCTGGTACCTTCCTGATGACTTTCTTAACCTTGATTATCTTCCTCAGTATCTTCTTCGGCTTGGTGGTGACGCCATTGGCGCCGGCGCTGCCATTACTGACAGTGGTTATGGTGGTGGTGGTGGTGGTTGTGATGACGTTGCCGTTGGCTGTAGCAGTGGTGGTTCCCTTGCTGGCTACCGCGGCTGCCCCATTCTCATTGCCGGTGCTATTGTCGTTGTTGGTAACAGTGGCAGCATCATCAGCAGCAGTAGAAGGAGTAGAAGTGGAAGTCTTGATTACAGCGCAATGCGTCGTGCCTGCTTTGTCCGGAACTGGAAATCTCTCCATGATTGTGTTATGCTGCTGAAAAGGCATGCATGCGACACCTCCATCGCCCATGGAAATCCCGCTCAGGAACTGAATTTCAGTGCCAAACCCTAGTTCTCCCCTCTGCCGGGGCTGTCGATGCTCATGCTGCGATAGGAAAATCCCCTTTCCCGTAAAAATCCCCTTGCACCGCTCCAATTCAATGCTCCTTCCTCTCAGCGAATCTGCAAACAAGCAAAGCCGACAATTCAATACAACAAAAAGCCAATGTAGGGTTTTCGCCCGCGGGAGAAAAAAACCAGAGACGAGAAGCAGCAGAAAAACCGTCAAATTGAATAACAAGCTCCCAGCAGTCGCTTGGAAAGCTCTAGGGTTTCCCGCTCCAATAAACAAGAAGAAGAAGAAGAAGATGAGACAGTGGAAGGAAAAATTTACCAGGAAGGAAGAATCCACCGGCGGGGCAGCTGAAACGCGACAATAGATCGGAGAAGCAAAGGAAGGAGAAAACCTCGTCGAGCTCTATCTGAATTCGTGCGTGAAGAAGAAATATAGAGAGAGAGCAGGATGAAGAGAGAGAGACTTGTGTTGAAACACAGATCGAAGGAAGGCCGAAAACAAAACACACGAACTCTGAAATAACAGAAGCGGAAAAAGAGAACTCTTCTTAATTTTTTTCTTTCTGTTAACAATATTTGTTTCTTGTTGCTTCTTAAATACCCCTCTCTCTTTCTTATGTAATGTGTTCTTCCTCTTCTTCGCGTCTGAAACGAAAACCTTGGTTTTATATTTTCTGTCCCTATTCTTTTTTTAATTTAATTATTTTCCATTTCCTGGGTTTTTAGTTAATGTGTAATTAATGTTGATGGCCCAGAGGGGAATTTGGAATTACCGGGTTGCCCCTGTACTGTCAACTATGTGGGATTTGGGCTCTCCCTCTTGAGTCTTGCCCGCGCCCCAAAAACTGAGCGGGAATGAGTGAGTTAGTGAAGATTCTCTCTGATTGGCTATGGAGATCTATTACCGGTTGACGCAAACGAAATTCTCTTTTTTTCCATTAGCTTTTTCTCTTTACTTTTTCCTCCGATGGTTTGGGAATTAATAAAGGATTAATAAGAGGAAAACATAACTCTCGAGGGAGTGAATTGATGTGGAATCCATGGAGATATGATTAGTGATGGAAACGGTGCGGGTAGTAACTCCACACTCATGTCTTGTCCCACACTATTATAGGTAGGTGCGGGTAAAACCCAAGCAAGTACGAAGCGGGCGGATCCATCCATTACTACATGTTATTTGAAAAAATGTATACAAATTTTACTTTTTACGATGAAACGAAAGGGAAAATACTTTATGAATGAAAATAGTGATAATAGAACGTGTAATTAAGTCTAACTAATTGAAAGATCGACTCTAACTAGTTGAAGTAGATACTCATGTGTCGCCCCACGCTACTGCGGGTAGGAATACCCGCCCCATTGCAGGTCGAGTAATACCCGTGGGGGCGGGTTCAAATTGCCATCATTAGATATGATAGAAAAATGGAAGGGATCAGATTGGATGGAGTTATTATAAGGTTGGGATTAGATTAAAGTTGGATAAGTTTAACTAGTATTACTAATTATATAATTGTATTGATGAGTAAAGTGAATGGATTTCTAGGTTAAGTTGGATAAAATATTCATAATTAGATCGATCTGTAGAGTTCATTCATTTAATAAGTAATGCTAGAGTCATAAATTCTTTTATGAACAAAGATTTCATTTTGCTTTGAAAAAGTCTAGCGAGGGAGAGCGTAAAAGTGATACTTACAATATCTATCACATCACAACATGTCAACAGGTAGATAATAAAATTAAATTATGTATATCATTGTCACGAATAAATGATGTTTTGCTACTTATAGGATCTTTTTCAATTCGCTTGAGCCATAATATCATTATTATTCTCGTGATCACTTGAAATATTTTCAAAGCCGACCATACTTCTTCTAATGTCATCATTCGAAAAATATGACGTTTGAGACACAATCGCCACCAGAGACCATCTTAAAGCAAATTTTGCATTCGGACCTCTTTGCATCACAATCAACATCAATCTTGTACTCCCAATCTGGATCTTTCTACTCCTAGGAGCAATACTTTTCATTTTTTTTATTGTTTTGCCTTAGAAACAATAGTAGTACAGACGGTAGACATAACATAACTTGCACCTAAAAGTATCAAATAAAACTAGCAGTCACACTTTGTAACCCCAAAAATGAAGTTGTTGATCATTTCCCCAAATTTGTGGACAAGTGATGCATAACATAAAGGTCGAGACAATATCTCAATTGGAAAATACGATAACTCAAAAAAAAATCAGAGAAGCCTCAGAAGAATTTGTCAAATTAGGAGATGAAATAAAGAGAAATTAATCACCAAAGACACTGGAGGTGGATGGCAAAATGATGGGTGATGGTGGGAGGTAGAGCTGGGTAGGCAGGTCACAAGCAATGAATAGACAAATAAAATACATGTATAGTAACAAAGCTTATAGATATATGTGATGATGGAGGTTGTGATTTGCAAATACAAATTCATTAAGTCGCCAACTCGGTGGCAGATGGTTGTCGTAGAGACTACATGAGCGTGGATCCTATTAGTAATGTATGGTGGTGTTCACCGATCAGTAATGGTGGAGAGGGTGGAGGTTTAGATATTGGCGGACTTTGAGTGTTGTTGTTAAAGGTACGAGGAATATTAGAAAGGAATGAGAAGGATGGGCTAGGATTATTCGTAACGTTGGTCGGGGTAGTGAAAGCCTGATTTTGTTTTAGTTGGCCTGAACATTAAAGTTGTACAAAATCGTTATATAGTAGATTTTCTTAATTTTATAGTTTTTAAAAAGAATTTCATGAAATTTTAAAATTTAAAGATTTAGTATTGAAATCAAGATCGGAACCCGTACCTATCATGGAAGAATCTTTGGTTATTACAAAATATGTTGAGGAGGAGGTAGTTGGTTGCAGCAAACCTTTGAGTATGGTGAGTACTTCAACTGTTATATCACTGAAACAGTGTTGTATGTTCTTGGAGTTTGAGACATAGTTAATGAGATTGTTGTATATTCGATATGAAGGCAGCACTTCAATTATTCTCGGAACAAACCCAAGCTTGTTCTTCGTGCGTAGTGCTACCTCCATAGATTCACTCCAAAGTAAGTAATTCTCATCGTTCAGCTTAAACCAAATGACTGGCAAGAAAAAGGTGTTGCTTTGAGATAAGTAAATGGGATTTGAGTATGGAACTTCGTACTGAGTTGAGGAACCTTATAAACCATTTTCCGTGCTCGGCGAATCACCATCAGGAAACCCGAATTCAACCATCAGTGTGTTTCAAGGAAATAAATCAAAACCAAAAAGAAGAAAGTAATGGAATGGAATGGGTAAGAAGAAATGAGGGACTTTGGCCTAGTAAATCTGAATGTTAGAGGTAGAAAAGAAGAAGATGATGGACAAAAGGGTTTTGGAGAATTTCACAAGATGCCTTTCATTCATTTTCCAACTGCTTATATATTGAGGGTCTGTACAAAAGTCGTTAAACTTGTGCTAATGGCTAACAACGTTTAACTAATTAAACTAACTAATAAGATAACAACAAGTGGTAAATGTAACCTAATTACATATCTTCATTCATAGCTGGCGGCGACAAAACCGCAAGTGCACACTGTCATACAAGTAGTAAAGTGTAAGTAAAATTATCGTTCTCTAGGGGATTGATGAAATTCAATAATTAACAAATTTAGTTCAAGAAACTATAGAATTGCAAAGGTTGTAATCAAAATATGATTTGCAAAGATACACACAAATTAAGTAAATTGATAAATCAACTATTTTGGAGAAATTGATATTGGAGAGTTTCGGGGAAAACACAAGATTTTACTATTTTACCACAGTAAATTTAATTACCCTTGTCAATCAATTTAATCCATATTTCTACATATAGGTGTCAAAACATAGCCCGACCCGATTAACCCGCCCGATCAACCCGACCCGCAACCCGACCGCAACCCGAATTGACTAAAAGTCAACAACCCGTAACCCGCCCGACCCGCAACCCGATTGACCCGCAACCCGACTAACCTGCAACCCGATTAACCCGAACCCGATTGACCCGCAACCCGACTGACCCGCAACCCGATTAACCCGAACCCGATTGACCCGAACCCGACTAACCCGTAACCCGACCGACTCAACCCGAATTTCATCTAATCCACTTGAATAATTATAAAAATATACAATACATAGTTTTTCAAAATTTTAGTTTTTCATTCTAAACTTAAGTAAAATTATCTTTTCATTTCGTATAAGAAATTTAAAAAATATGAAACTCACTTGATATTACGTATGTTAAGAAAATTACCAAAATTGAAACATGAAGGTCACTTGAGATCATGACAATATTAATATAATATATAAATTAAGATTTTGGTTAATTTAACTATTCAATAAAATTATCAATTAAATATAAATAAAGTAAAGTAATGTATTTGGTAATTTGATGTTTTTAAAAGAAGAGGGAAATTTTGGTGTATTCAAGTTTTTGGGAAGAGAAAGAAGAGGGAAATTTGGTTCTTTGAAATTTTTTTAGAAAAGAAACAAGTGGGAACTTTGGTGGTTTTGATATGTGGGAAGAGAAAGAAGTGGGAAAATTTAATTCTTTTGATTATGAAAGAGAAATAAGGAGGGAAACTTTTGACTTTTCAACTTTTTGTAGAAGGAAAAAAGAGGGTAATTTGGTTCTTTCAATTTTATGGAAGAGAAAGAGGAAGAAAAATTGAGTTTTTCTAATGTATGGAAGGAGAAAGGAGGGAAATTTTAGTATTTTTGTGAAAAGAAAGAAGGAAACAAATTTGGTGTTTTCAATTTTTGGTTTTTCATAATTTTAGCTTTTGAAATATGAATCTTTAACTTTTATATGGAGGGCATGACTAGTTAAAATTATTCTTATATGCTTTGAAGGCTAATATGTATATATGTATGTAATTGTTTATGGGCTAATAAATGAATTAACCATTAGTTACAACAATTTATA